AGCCAACAAATTCAAAAGTGAATTTCAAGTGGGTGTAGAAGTGTAAATAAACCATAATTCACCGACTGCAACCAGAAAGAACCTAAAAAAGGAAGCAAAAGCAAATGCAATGTACTAAATGCAGAAACGATGGCACGATAAGCATCTTCACGGTCAGTGCCTACCAAACAAAGAGGTGGACAAACCCTGTACCCATCAATGGTTACGTAGTGCATGCTTAAAAGCTGAAACCGAAGGTTTTATTCAGGCTGCATAGGACCAGTGCTTGCTAAGTAGAAATTACCAAGCACACATACTGAAAAATTATGTTGAACCAGAATGATTGTTTTGTATCAGAGTGCACGGCGTTAGAACCCATTGAATATAAAACTCGGCATGACAGAGTGGGCCAATATTCGCACTGGAAAATATGCAACTTTTACGGGAAGGAACTTTTGTGGCACCATGCATCCAGGCGATTTGAAAGATATATTTATAGATATATGATTTGCTTTTTTACGGTTTATCAACCATTTGAGGATTGTTTGAGGCCGGGGTGTATTTTGGGTTTTGGGAATAATTCTTTCTTTTTTTTTTGCAAGAGGATTGAACCGCCATGCATTCAGGCGATTTGGAAGAAAGAAAGAGAAAACGAAGAAGAGGGAAAGGAAAAGGTAATACGAGACGGGTCATAGGCGAACACACACACACACGGCTTAAGAGACGGGAATAAGAAAGAAAGGTTTATTTTTGATAGATATCAAATGTCGAAAATATCTAGGTCACCTGCGAACAAGCGTTGACCGATTTCCGCTTATCCGCGAAAAATGGAATTGTGTTATCAAGAGATGTCACCAATGATGTTTTTGAACGTTAGGTTTTGATAATTGACGAAACACAGGCAGTCTTGGCTGGGTATGGAAAATTAAAATCCCACCCAAGTAGTTTCACTGGCTAAGTTTTTCTTTTGACAGAATAGACTTTTGCCCTGCGATAATAAAAATTTTGTTATCAACACATGAACCGAAGGAAACTGACATATTTTTATTTCTGCTTTGGGAGACGCCAAATTGGCGACCAACTTGGAGAAAATTCCTTTCTTAGACCATGTCAGATAATCCAGCTGTCCAGTGCATTGGCGATAAACTGCTTGACAAACGCCACGTGTTGAACAAAGAGTTGTCATATTATCCGTTCATGATAACGGCGATTTAATTATTTTTTTTTGGTTAAGCAAGGTATTTCTTTTCCAAAACAAAGCCACGGGTTGTTCACGCCCGACTAAGACGTCATTGGCCAAGTGGATCACATGACGCACGAAGGAGAAGGAAAGATACCCGACCAGGACCTCATTGGCCGAGAGTGGTCACGTGACGCACGAAGAAAATCAGTCGACGCCCCTATCCAAAGTATAAGTATGAGAAGCCGCTACGAAGAAGTGGGGAGGGCAGTTCACGCCCCTCAGAAGCATGGTGAGAAAGTGGGAGTGAGGAAAGAGTTACCAAAAATGGAAAAGAGTGGAAAATCCCTAACCAGAAATAAGAAGGGTGGATATGTATTTAGAATTATCGAAGAACCCCTGGCGCCGACAGACCCACCCCGGTTTTGACGGCGTCAATAAAAACGAAGCCCCACCAGACAGAAATCAGTTCGTTCGCCCCAAGCGAGCAGAAGAGGCCAGTTCGTTTGGCCCTGAGTGCCGAGTTCGTTCGACCCAGGCGGGCAGAGAAGACAGAAGTTCGTCGGACTCTGGCAGGCAGAGTTAGTTTAGCCCCGGGCGGCAGAGATGAGTGCCCAGTAATTCGATCGACCCAGGCGGGCAGAGAAGAGTTCGTTTGGCCCTGAGTTCCGAGTTCAGCCCCGGACGGCAGAGATGAGTGCCCAGTAGTTCGGACCCTGGCGAGAAGAAGTTCGTCGGACTTTGGCAGGCAGAGTTAGTTCAGCCGCGGACGGCAGAGATGAGTGCCCAGTAGTTTAAGCCGCCTCAAGATAGCTGACCAAGATTCACGCACAATTTTGGACTCTTCTTCAACCAAGAACAATTAGTTTGAAGAGCGACTTAGAACCAGACCACAGAAATAAGTTTTTCGACTTTCGACCAAAGACACACCGAAACACAAATTTCTTAGAGAGCAGACAACTTGAAGCGTTAAAATTTGCCTAGCGAAAGCGTCGTGCCACAATCCACAGAACGGGTCGGGAGGTAGACACAGTCCTATGTACCGAACAACTAGACATAAAAGTTTGTTACCTTTTTCTTTGATACTTTGAACTTTGTGAGTTTTCATTTTATTTTCTTTTATGCATATTCGTGTGTTATCACCCCCGTTGGACTCAGCTTGCATTACGGCCCCAACCCTTGTTTGATCTCGTCTGTCTAAGATCAATTCACAACGTGGGTAGGAAGACTGGAGATCAGTGCAGTTACCCTGGTAACCAGGCGTTGGAAGCGAGTTGGGAACGGCGAGGCTGATATCAAATCTAACCAGATTCCTACCCGAATCACAAAAGGGTTAGAACGTCACGCTTGGAGCAGCGACACCCGGACGGAGCTGCGAAGAGCGAACAGCTGGCGCTGCGGCGAAGACGTCACACTTTCAAGAAACTAGTATCAACATCACACAGACACGATTACAGAGATAAGACCTGTAACAATTTGATGGGACTTTACAATACACCCAGACAAAGCATTCAAAGCTAATCGCTCAGACATCGTGATCAAAGAACAAAAAAAAAAAAAAACCAACAAAAAACAGAAATGTGCTTTCTTATAGACATGGCAGTTCTTGAAGATTTTCATGTATCTTTGACGATCTTCAAAAAACTATCAAAATATGTAGTTGGAGCCCACGGATCAATTGTAAAATGTTCCGATAGACTCAGTGAAGAGATTCCTGGGAGCCAATGCCTTAAAGAAATACAAAAAATGTACTCACATATACTGCTTATATATTATGAAGAGCTTTATCTATGTAAAATGTATGTTATCTTAGGATTTGTATTTTTTTAATAAAAGTGTTCAGTGGAAAACGTCAGGAATCCATTTCTGTCCTTAGTTTGGGACCAAGAAAGAAATGGGTATACAACAGAAATCAAATGAATTAATAATAATAATAATAATAATAATAATAATAATAATAATAATTTTGTCCTCCTCAATGAACAACGGATGTCATAATGTAAATAGATTTTGATTGTGAGTAAAGAGAAACAAAATCTGTCAGTGTGTGAAATCTGTTGTTCCCTTCGACCACAGAATATAATTAGATGAGAGATAAAACTGCATAAGTCTCTGGACTTCTCTCAAAAACAGAAAATATTACACAGCATGAAGGTGAATTGGGCCAATCTTTTGGGGGATCACTAGGAATAATCAGGAAAAATCTAGCGAAATGATTAGAGAATCTGTTAATTCGGGAAAAAAGAATCAACATCGCTCAGACAACGCGAGGCGCGACTGAAAATGGCAGAAATACTGTAGAGGGTTTTAGAGAAGGGAATAGATTTTTTTGTCACTCAATCGCCGGTTTCAAACAACAGTGTGTGAATAATAATAATAATAATAATAATAATAATAATAATAATAATGAGTTTCAAATGGGCGTAGAGATGCAACTACAGCACAATACACCGGCTGAAACTGCAAAATACTTAAAAAAGACAGCAAAGACGAATGTAGCCGACAGAAACGATGGCAAGATAAACCGCTTCATGGCCAATACTCTGCCCGTACCAAACAAGCTGACGTAGACAAAACCCGTACCGATCAGTGGCTAGGTAGTGCAGGGTTGAAAGCTGAAACTGAATGTTTTATTCTTGCTGCACAGGACCAATGCTTGCTAACTAGGAATTATCAAGCACATATACTAAAATATTGTGTCAGCCCAAAATGCAGATTCTGTGATAAATATCCAGAAACGATTGATCATCTTGTATCAGGTTGCACGACATTGGCACCCACTGAATATAAAACCCGGCATGACGGAGTGGGCCAATATCTGCACTGGAAAATCTGCAACTTCTACGGGAAAGAAACTGAAAGAAACTGGTATGAACACCACCCAGACCCGGTTACGGAGATAGGACCTGTTACAATTCTATGGGACTACACAATACACACTGACAGAACAATCAAAGCTAACCGCCCAGATATTGTTATTAAAGACCACAAACAAAAACGGTGCCTCCTTATTGATATGGCAGTCCCTGCTGACTGCAATGTATCTTTGAAAATATTCAAAAAGTTGTCAAAATACAAGGGCCTTGAAATAGAAATCTCTAAAATGTGGCATATGGGAACATCGACAATCCCTGTTGTAGTTGGAGCCCTAGGACTGGTTGGAAAAGATTGCAGTAGAATAATTGAAGGGATTCCTGGAAATCCATGCCTCAAGGAGATACAAAAAATTGTTCTGACAAGTACAGCCCACACTTTACGAAGGGCTTTATCTATGTAATTTTTTTTGTCAGTAGAAAGTGTCATGATGCTATTTCTAACCTTAGGTCCCTGGGCGGGACCCGGAAAGAAATGTGTAAACGCCAGAAATAAGATAATAATAATAATAATAATAATAATAATAATAATAATAATAATAATAATAATGATAAAAATAATAAATACCCTGCTTCTGCACCAAGCGTGGCTCTTATGGCTTCTAATATTGATTGGACCTACCAACATGCATATATTTATTCTTGGAGAATTAAAATGGACGACACAATATAGCCCAACCCTCTCCGGTTGATACACTGTGCATGTCTGTTTATGGATTAGAGTAGTGGTAGAATATCGTGGCCGGTTTTTGAGAAAGTTGTTTGTTTTTATGTTTTAAATGTGGAACAGCCAAAGCTACTTAGGTATCATATCAAAATAGTTGGGAACACCCTCGATCGGAGCCCAACTGAGCGGATTGTCTTACCCGACATAATTGTATTTCTAACTGATCCCCATCTGCAAGTTAACATTTAGTTGTGATGCATCTATCTGTATCAAACTGGGTATCATGATCAGTACCCTAGGATCATTTTGTTGGTATACGCACGTATGCGCGCGCGAGAGAGAGAGAGAGAGAGAGGGAGAGAGAGGTAGGGAGAGGGAGAGAGAGAGGGAGGGAGGGAGAGAGGGGAAGGAGGGCTAGGGAGAGAGAGAGGGAGAAAGAGCGAGAGAGAGGGAGGGAGAGAGAGAGGGAAGGAGGGCTAGGGAGAGAGAGAGGGAGAAAGAGCGAGAGAGAGGAGGGAGAGAGCGAGAGAGAGAGGAGAGAGGAAGGGAAGGAGAGAGTGAGAGAGTGAAAAGAGAGAGGTGGGGAGAGAGGGAGGGGACAGAGGGAGGGAGAGAGGCAGGGAGAGAGGGGAAGGAGGGGTGAGGAAGAGAGAGAGGGGGAGGGAGGGAGAGAGGAAGGAGGGCGAGGAAGAGAGGGATGGAGGAAGAGGGAGAGAGAGAGGAGGGAGGAGAGAGAGGGAAGGGGAGGGAGAGGAGAGAGAGGAGAGGGAGAGAGAGGGAGGGAGGGAGGGAGAGAGAGAGGGAAAGAGGGAGAGGAGAGAGAGAGTGAGAGGGAGAGAGAGGGAGAGAGAGAGAGGGAGAGAGAGAGAGGGAGAGTGAGATGGAAGGAGAGAGAGGGAGAGAGAGAAGGAGGGAGAGAGAGAGAGAGTGAGTGAGAGGGAGTGTCTTGACAGGTTAGGCATAAAAAGTATGATAGAGAAAAATATGTTTGTACGTCAACAATATTTGAGAGTTTATTAATAACATATTTATTACCTACACGCCTATCCAGTTTTTCTCTGGTAAGGGATGTAATGATGGTATAGATATATATATATATATCCTCAAACATTTCCATAAAATTTTATCTCCCCAATAGAAAATTGTATACCTGCTTTGTTGAGCTCGCACAAGCATATGACTACATCAATAGAGAACTTCCTCTTTACATCCATTAAAAAACGTATTTAAAGCTCTGACTTCACTGATGCGAGATCTGATCGAAGAATTATATCGGCCCACAAGGACATATGCTGAGGTCATCAATACCGAAATATTTCAAAGGGAACGACAAGGAAATGTGAGTCCAAGTACGCCCTGCCTATATACAATCATAGATGTAAAGAGATAGACATTGTTCATTTTAGCATTTCAAAACAAATGCCAAACGAATTTATTAATACGAAACAAGTTTCCTCCTTTCCATCACGAGGCCAATGTATTGATGATGAAAGTGTCTATACTGATGATAAAGGTATCTATAGTTGGGATAAGAATGATCTTAAGCAAAAAAAAAACAATTTCATCTACGATGGTCTGTAGCCCCTACTGTTTGCCTCTGGGTTCTTGATACAGAGACGGATATGCAATATAATTGGCCCTGATCTGGCATCTCGCCTGCAGTCGCTCTCTCACAGACGAGCCGTCGCCTCCCTCTGTCTTTTTTACAAATACTTTCATGGTAATTGCTCCGATGATCTGCTTTCGCTGGTTCCCAGACTTCGCAAATTCAAGCGTCCTACGAGGGTGGCATCCCGCTCTCATCCTTTCACTGTTGAAACTGTTAAATGTAGCCGTCTCTTCTACTCCAATAGCTTCATATCTCGCACCTCTCGCCTGTGGAACTCCCTTCCCTATTCCTGTTTCCCTGATAGCTTTAATCTCCAACTATTCAAACGTAATGTCAATCGACATCTCTTGCCTTGGTCTATCCACTATCCTTCTCCTCATCCTTTCCTCTATCATTCCTCCCTGCTGTATGTTTGCTTATGAGGAAACAGCTAATACGACCATTATGTGTCTATCTATCTCTCTCTCTCACTCTCACTCTCACATATATATATATATATATCAGTTTTCATATCTATCTATCTATCTATCTATCTATCTATCTATCTATCTTAGCCTGTTAATTCTCTCTCTCTCTCTATATATATATATATATATATATATATATATATACATATGTGTGTCTTTATATTCATATCTATCTCTCTATCTCAGCCTGTTAATTAGCTCTCTCTCTCTCTTTCTATATATATATATATATGTCTTCATATCTATCTCTCTATCTCAACCTGTTTATTAGCTCTCTCTCTCTCTCTCTATATATATATATATATATATATATTCTGTTAATATCTATCTATCTATCTATCTATCTATCTATCTATCTTATTTTGTTCATAATCTATCTATCTATCTATCTATCTATCTATCTATCTATGACATATATTTATCTCCACCTTTAGGGATTACCTGCTAATAACAAAACGGTAATGTTATTCCAAGACCAGTCTGCCGTATGTTGGTAAATTTGCAATGACAAAGAATGTTTTGATAAAGATTTCCATACAGAGTGTGCCATTTCCAATCAAGTGCTCTGAAATTTATAACATAATAGGAAATTGTTGCCATTAAATAATTATTAAGAAGCATTACATGTTGTATTGAGTGATAATTGTTGGAGATAAGGAAATAAAAGAAGTTGATAATGCAATTCATTTGGGAAAGTCCTGCCAAGTGTAATATAACTAACGTTGTAATAATCAATAGCACTTGAGTTCTCAGTCAAAGTCGTTCTCAGAAACATAATCTATCACCTCCATTACTAAAATGACGTCACTTCCCTACGTTTGCTCAGTGAAATGCTTTTCTGTCGAAACAGAGAAAAATATTATCAAACCTGACAAAATGTTGATAGCGCATCACCAATAACAACAGAAATCAGTGAAAATCAAATCGAATTACCGCAAATTATTGGCACGTTTAAGTAAACGTCATTTTAATCTATTAGCGAAAAAATACAGGCGAAGAAAAAAGTGGTTGTTCCCGGCAAATGCACAAAAGCCAGTATAAAACTGCTACGAACAAACGGGAATTCTTTTTTCTTCATTTTTAATCGACTTTTCTTTCTGTTCTTTTTTTTTTTTATTCATTTATTTATTTTTTTTTTTAGTACGACTCATTACTTTTGCTTTGATATAAGCGACAAGAAGGGAAAAATTGTTGAAACAAATAAATACACATCTGGGAAATAAAAAAAAAAACAAAAAAAAACTTATAAATCCCTAAAATTTAAATAAAATGAAAAAAAGTTAACAAAATATTTTGTTATAAAAACAGTGAGGAAAATTATTGAAAAGAAAGATAGAAAGAAAAATAATTTTTGCGAGACATTGATGTAAGATTGACTTGGCTTTAAAACACTAATTTTCCCCCACCCTTGTCTCATACATACATATATATATATATATATATATATATATATATATATATACATATATATATATATATATATATATATATATATATATATATATATATATATATATATATATATATATATATATATATATATATGTGTGTGTGTGTGTGTGTGTGTGTTTATAATATATATATATATATATATATATATATATATATGTATGTATATATATATATATGTATGTATGTTATGTATGTATGTATGTATGTATGTATGGAAGCGTTTAAACTTACGTTTCAATATACAAAAACATTTTATCCGACTTTTATCACAAATAGATTTTAGATTAAAAAAGAAATGTTTTTGTACGGTAGCTGTCTACAATATATTTCATTTTTTTTCTTCTGCCATGCCTATTTCTTTCTCATCGTTTCTTTCTTCATTCTTTCGTTTTGTCTTTCTTTCTTTACATTTCTTTCTTTTTTCTTTTCTTTCTTTTATTCTTTCTTTCTTTAATTTTCCTTCATTATCGCTTTTGCTATTTGAGTCTTGTGTATGTCGTCTTTTCATTTTCCTTCCTTTTCTTCATTATATTTGTCTTTTCTTTGTTAACTTCATTCTTTACTTTTCCTCTTTTCTTCATTTAACCCTTCTTCCCATTCGTTTCTTTTCTACTTTTCATTCTTTCATTTTTTTCTTTCTAGATTTTGTTTCCATTTTTAAGCACCGTATCTTTCTTCTTCTTCTTTTCCTTAATTCTTATATCCCTCTCTGTTTTTCTTTCGATTAATTCTTTCTTCACTGTCACTTTCTCTCCATGAATTCCGTTTCTTCTTTCTTTCATTTCTATTTTTTACTTCTTTTTTACCGTTTTTCTTAAAATGTCTCCGTGGCTCCATCTTTTTTTCTCTTTCTTCTATCGCCACTCTTGTGTTTTCTTTTATGCAAGACGTTACCTATTACTGTTTTTTTTGTTTAATGTAAATTTATCTCCACTTTTTCACTAAATATATGCTATTTTATTTATTCTTATCTATTTGATAGATCATAAGAAGCAAAACAGACGGGGGTGCGTAGGAGGACGTAGGGGGGTGCGTAGGTAAAAGCAAAAGGATCAAAACACAGATAAGTCGCGCGCGAGAGAGAGAGAGAGAGAGAAAGAAAAAAAAAGATCTACCTGGGATGCCAACAAAAAGAGTTTAAATCCTTTTTTTTGTGCTTTTAAAAGCAGATAAGAAAGAGATTAGCTGTCAGTGTTTGTAAGCCAAGAAAGGGGGAAAAGCCAGGAAAAAAATATATCTGCGTATTTAAACTTTCCTATTTTTTACGAGCTCTCTTCATTTCCTTCAATTTTATTTGGGCGCGCATGAACACGTATTTTAATGCGCGCGTGGCTCTTTGCCTCAGTGAGTGCGTTAAAGTGTCTATAAATTTACGTCTCGGTGTCTACCCATTATATAAATATACGTACATTTATATAATGGGCAAATACGTATACGGATATTTATGGGTGCGCGAGTGTGTGCGTGCGCGTTCATGGGGAAAATATGTGTGTACGTGTGAATTTTTGTATTCATACACGTGCATTTTCACGTGATTGTTTAGTTAAATTAATAAATGCCTATTTACAAGGATAAAGACGTTTACACGAAAATGTGAACTTTGGTCTCAAGTTGCATCCAAAGAGTATACATTCATGATCAATGAATTGCGAAACATGGTCGCAAGTTTGATCCTAAGGCAAACACAATCAAAGATATATTAGGCTATACCAAAAGTATTTGATCTTTTTATAAACCGAAAGCTTATTTCAAGAACACTTCTAAAGACTATGGCATGTCTATATTATTATTATTATTATTATTATTATTATTATTATTATTATTATTATTTTCTTTGATTTCTGGCGATTACACATTTCTTTCCGGATCCCGCCCAGGGACCTAAGGTTAGAAATGGCATCATGACATTTTCCACTGACAAAAAAAAAAAAATATTATTATTATTATTATTATTATTATTATGTTTTATGGTTGCTTTGTGTAGTACGAGTTGCTCTCAGTATCTGTCTATATTTCTGAGATGAGGTATTATGTACACTATTTACATTATTCGGACTATTGTCCTCATCTTTGTCGCCATATTTATTACAACGTTTCGGCCTTTCAGTATCTGTCTATATTTCTGAGATAAGGTATTATGTACACGATTTACATTATTCGGACTATTGTCCTCATCTTTGTCGCCATATTTATTACAACGTTTCGGCCTTTTAGTATCTGTCAATATTCTGAGATGAGGTATTATGTACACTATTTACATTATTCGAACTATTGTCCTCATCTTTGTAGCCATATTTATTACAACATTTCGTCCTTTCAGTATCTGTCAATATTTCTGAGATGAGGTATTATGTACACTATTTACATTATTCGAACTATTGTCCTCATCTTTGTTGCCATATATATTACAACGTTTCGGACTTTCAGTATCTGTCAATATTTCTGAGATGAGGTTACACTATTTACATTATTCGGACCATTGTCCTCATCTTTGTCGCCATATTTATCACAACGTTTCGGCCTTTCAGTATCTGTCTATATTTTTGAGATGAGGTATTATGTACACTATTTACATTATTCGGACGATTGTGCTCATATTTGTTGCCATATTCATCACAACGTTTCGGCCGTTGTACGCTGGAATTTCG